AATTTAAGTATTATGTAATGCAAATTATGTATCATTTTGATTTTTGGAAATGTAAGATGTTTATTTTTGGGAACCTAAGATGTTTATTTTTGGAATTATTCATTTTGGAACATAAGATTTTCTTACTTCGTAAAATTAAAAAAATTTAGTCAATATCCGAACATGAACAATAAAGATTGTTTTGTTTTCTACTTTGCCAAACACTTGTTGCAAATTGACACCAAAATTCCTCCATGTGTTTCATAACTATAATTGACACCAAAATTCCTCCATGTGTTCATAACTACATTCCGGTATGAATGGCAAGTACTCCACAAAGGCAAGAACCATAACAGCACAAGTATACTTAAATCATTTTCAAAATATAAACTACAAATAAAAAAATTCACATACTAAGAAACAAATTTCACAAACATTAAATCAAATTAAAAAAATAACCTTGATTGGCCAACTTACAGAGAAGATAAACACAATCACAATTAATGATTGAAGTAAAGAACAATTAAAATTAAAGGATGAAATTTAAAAATGAAACAAAAAAAATAAAAAGAGAAAAAGAGAAAGGGACGAAGAAGATGGAGGGAGAAAGAACATGGGGTCAAGGGATATTAAAGAGGAGAGAGAAGGAAGTCAATTATTTTAAAAAATAGAAATAAAAAAATATGTATATATGGTGTTAAAGTAGGGTTAAATGGTGGTGTGCCTGTAGCATTCCCCAGAAAACATACATCCCTTTTCACAAAGTTTTACTACAAAAGAGAAATCAGACTGCGTTTAAAGCTGTAATTTGGTAAAGCATGTGATCCAAAGTCGAGTCCGAACATTTCCTTGGGAGCCTGCCCGATGTCCATAAACCGGATAAGCCTTGCAATTAAGTAGGCGCTGTCAGTGATGTGGTTCATGTCGTCCGTCCTGCTCCACAACCTGTTAGCCAACTGTGCCCTCCTAAGTTTTGAGTTTAGTGTGATTCCCCACTTGAGGTAGAGGCTCTCGCGTTCTTGTTCTGTCACCTGTGCATTTGAATATCGATGAAGACGACGATGAAACGAATAAAGATGATACGAAAATAGCCGATGAAGACGAAGATGAGTCAACGGATTGTAATGAGGGCTCGGATTGAGAATCGGATGAGGATGTAGTTTATGAAGAGCTGGAAGAAGAATGTGATGAGGAGGGTGGCAGCGAGGAGGATGAGAGTAAAGAC